AGGAGTTTTGGCTTCTTTATTTCTAAGCCTCTCCTGCTAAAGCTTTTCCATTTGGTAAGTAGGGATTTTGCCCATGACACTTAAGGTCCTTAAAAGTGATTTATATTTGCATTTGTGGCTATTTGCTGAAACAAGCCATTATTCATATCCTTTATCCATGTGGAAATGAACAAACAATCTGCAGGTCATAAACACCTTAAAAAAAAAAAAAACAAAACCAAAGAGCCCGTCACTTGTTAACAAATTAGGATGAGGAGTTAATTTGATTAGGATTTGTTGTTTCTTTTGTGTTGTATTTCTTGTTGATTTTCTCTTTTGTGGATCAGAAGAGAAAAGTCAGGACTCCTATTCATCATTCTAAACTGCAATTGTGTACAGTACATAAGATACATACAGAAAAAGACTTGTCTACAGCTGAAATCTTGCATCTGAAATTTAGTCAATGTGAAATTGTCCCTCTAAAGAAAAAACACGTAATTTGTTAAACTGATAGTAACTTAAATTATACTTTGGAATCAATTTATTTTAAAATATGTCTATTCAATTTATTCTTGGCTAGGTCTTACTGGCAGCATTCGTTAAGTTACACCAAAGCATGACAACCTAGTACATATTTGAATGTATCTTAGTACTAAGATATATTTTGATTCATAAAACAACTGGTTTTGCTTGCATGTGGTAAAGTGACTGTGGGGCTCATAGGAAACTGACTCATAACGGAAAGTTTTCTCCAGCGTGCCCTGTAGCACAGGCACAGTTGCCAAGAAGTTATCTGGGTTCATTTCCATAGCAACCAATCAATATAACTGTTTATTTCCTAAAGGCCTTGCACTTGAGCTAAGAATCTCAGAAACTTAGATATTACTCTCTAAAGTTAAATGTTCTGATTATTTGACTTGTTTTTTTCAGTATGAGGGGAATAACTTGCTGGTGCTTTTCTTCACACAAAAATTACTTTCATTAAAATATGTCAAATTTTTCTTTATATAATGGAATTAGAAGAACTGTTCAGTGGCGGGGGGGCCAGTTGGTTGGGGTTTTTTTGCAGATTGTGTACGAATGTTTCAAATATCTTGTTTTTTAAAACAATGTGCCAGTGAAAGAAACTAATGATACTTTTTTGATGTCCTTATGAGGAGGAAGGGGTATTCCTGGTTTTACTTGATTTTATTTTTACAAGAATTAGAGCATCAGTATCTATAACTGAGGCATTTTTACTGTAACTTTTACTTTCTTGTTTGTAAGAGAACTTAAAAACCTGATCATCCTATTTAATGTTTATTAAATTGTTTGCCTGAATAAATCATGACCTGTAATATGAGTGGATTGAGTCTTCCAAAAGCATAGTGTTTTTGTGCTATCTTCCTTATTTGAACAATGATATACATATAGTAGTATTGGTATGTTGAAATAAATTCAAAATCCTTAAAGGTTTTAAGGACACTTACATTTCTCAACCAGATGTTACTTACATTCATCTTGTATTTACAAGCAAAAATACTACATTTAATGTTCACTAAATTATCTTTTACTATAATGTTAGTGATATCTGGAATACTATGTAACTGTACAATGTAAAGCTGCTTTGACTGTAGTTTGCTGCAGAGGTGGAAAGCTGTTCTGAAAAGCAGAAACATAACCTGAACCATAATACTGAGTTGTACAAAGATTTCAGTACATTATTTTGACCTTATGAGTTTACAGAAACATCCAGAAAATCAAAGGCATTATTTGTAGGAAAAAGTATTATTAATAACTGGAAATGCTACAGATGTAAAAACACTGCAAGAACTTAGTGAAATGATGAATAGGAGGAGAAGTGATTCTGTTCCTGGTAGTCCCAATGGTATTCTGAGTGATAAGGAAAGGGTGGTAAGGGTAATGACAACTGTCCTACTTGTACAATGAGCAGATGCTACGAGAAGGGATTTTCTGACCTTTATGGATGACAAGTGAACACTTTCAGTCTTGTAGCATTGTTTTATAGCCTTATAATGAATAGCAGAAAATCTACATTGCTTATAGTTTCCAAAAGGACACTCGAGACTGGATTGTTTTGCAGATATTATTGGATGTGTAGTAATGTACAAATGCAGGCTCCCTGTGGATTCATGGCTATAGCTGATGTGCCTTGATCTGAGACTAGAGAGAGAGCTTAAGTCAAAGGATTGTTAAGAGTTCTTGCTTTTTGAAACTTAATAAAGGTTTGTATAATTGCATGCATTTTAGTATTGATTAGCTATTTCTGGTAAGGTTTAATTTCAGTAACTCTCTTAAGTCCAGTAAAACAGACAGCCGGCTACAACAATCACTTTGTTAGACGACAGCATTTTTAATTATCCTCTTAATGTAGAGGTTTTTTTATTATAGTGGTGTGTTAAAACTGAGATTCTTACGCTGTGCTGAAACGACATAAAAAATCTGATTTTTTTGTGTCTATGTGTTTGGATTTTTTGGGGAGGAATACTACCAGTGTGCCAAAGTGTGATGTTTTTAGTGAAAGAAAATCTTGACCAACCATATCACTTAGTTAATCTGCATTTAAGTTCACCTTCCTGCTCAGTCTTTTTAGTCTAACAAGCTCCTGAAAGTTAGGGTAACTACCAGTGGGTTGAGGGCGTGAGCAAGTCTATTGTCTTTCAGTATCAATGCAGGCCTGTTGCTTCTGGTGCTCACAGAGGACGTTAGTATTGTTTCATAAGAGCTTCTAGCATTCTCAGTCTATCCTGATAGAACTGTTGACAGAAGGATCAGAATACTACAGTGAATTTAATGACTTAAGATAGTGACATAAATACACCTTCTCTATTTGAAGCAAAGTTTGTAGCTAGACAGCTCATGAAAAAGGTAAAACTTATTTTGATGTAGCGGTGTTTTTAAGAGAGAAGAGGCTCTTTTTTTTGTTTGTTTCTAGGATAAGCCCAAAATGTTACTTAGGAAAATAAGAACTTTAAAAAAATAAATTATGGAGATTTCATTTCTAAGTTACTGGACCACTGTGATCTGCAGAAAAAGAGCGTTCTCAGAAGTTGCATTATCTTTAAGCAGTGTGTATGAAAGCAGTGTATGAAACCTGCAAATATGCAAACCCCAGATACCCATGCACTTGGATAGCTGTGTTCTGCTTGACATTGGACATCTAGTTGCCTATTTTCTTTACCTGAGAGTTGAGCAACTATCACGTAAGTGCTACAAGTTATTCCCAGACCTTCTAAGTGTAACAAATGTTAGCAGTTATCAAATATCCCTTTAAGGTTGTATTTTACTTGATGACTTCTTGCTTGAGCCTGTTTCCAGTAGAGGATGTAACTATTAGTAATTTGCCTTTTTTGAATTCAGGTTCTATTTTGGATTTAAATAACTCATATACTGGCAGTTGGGGATTTTTTTTTCCAAAGCACAGGAAAGTTTACAATATAAAACATAACGGATAAAAGGTAGGTACCTCGTGGTGTACAGAGCCTGTTCCTTTTAGGTCACGTGCTTGAATATGACTCAGAATCCGTTAGTCTGTTGTGGTCATTGAACTGACTCATTTTAGGCAGGCTAGTTTATTCCTACCTTAGGAAGTCACGGTGCCAGTGAGCGCTGTAGCTGTCAGTCTCACCAGCACAGCAAACTGGAGCTTTTCCGTGAGCCTTGTGATTGATCATTTCTCCACAGGTGATAAACTCTGACTCCAGCTTATGTGGAACCATAGAATTCTACCTCTGTTAAATATGTCAGACTGGATCTTCAATAATAAGCTGCTCTAAGAAGTTAATATAAAACATAGGAATGTATGTATTAGAAAAATTGAAAAGAAAGAAAAGGACAAATATTGCTTTAATATGTGAAGACAGTACTAGGACGATTAGAGCGGTAGAAATAATTAGCACAATTTCTCCACAGTTCCAAATTCTGAGTTTAGAACCGTGGGACAAGAAAAGAGCTTTTGATCATTGAGACAGGTCCCTCAGAATCACCAGTCCTTATGTCCCCTGTTACTGACAAACTGGCCAACCTTGTCTTTAAATACAGTTAAGATTTTTTTGCTCCTACTTCTCTTATTTGAAGGCTGTTCTACAAACTTGCTGTGTGGCTTGAGAACTTGTAATTTTCAGTTTAAAATGGATGTTTGATTATGCCTTATTTTGGTCCTAACCACTTTTCGTTTGACTTGAAGTTATTTGGTCTTTAAAGTGTTTGAATTACTTGGTGTATTTTTACTATATGTAATTTTTTTCTTATAAGATACAGGAGTTTTCTAGTTGTCCTCCTTGTACCTGTTCATTTTGGAGTCTGTTCTTGCTCAGCCAGAGTTACCCAAACAGAATAATGTGTTCCATTTGAGCCTTATATAATAACATTAATATAGCTGAAAGCATCCTACATTTTGCCTTTTTTTCAGCCGCATCGTAGTGTCAGGTTGTAATCCTCCTGCAATGAACAAATCCGTTCAGATATTAGTCCTCTTATTTTGCTCTCAAATGGCAAGCTCCCGGTATGTAGGTGAAATTCTAATTTGCCCCAAGTGCTTTACTTTGTATCTGGTTATTGTACATCATCTCCTTTGTACTTTTCTAGGCCTCAAATTCATCTAGTGCTGTTTGTATGATGCTCCTTTCCTCTATATTGAAAAACTACTTGTCAAAGACAGTATCTTAAGCACATTCCAAAGCCTCAGCAGCTTGGAAGACAGTGCCTGGGAGCTGATGTTCAGGAAGACTTCACTGTCCTGAGGCAAACTGGAGAAATCACGGTCTCATTCATTTGCAAAAACACATGGCTGTTGAATTTTTCTGTAGGCCTAATATTGTGTTCAAGGTTTGAAACAGTTATCAGTCTTGCTACACAAAGAGAAGAATGAAGGATGATTATTCAGGCCTTGGATCAGATTTTGCATGAAGTGACCACTCTACAAACAGTGGAACCAGTGTTTGTTCTTGAGTTGTCCTATTGCATTTTACGGTCCTGAATGTATATGCAACTGATGCTAAGCATATGTTCTCTATTTGCAGGGAGGTAGTACAGGCAAACTGTGTCCGCTGGAAGAAAAAGTTCTTATTTATGTGTAAAATCAGTGCCACAACAGGGATTCTGGATACTTGCATTTGCAGGGTGTCTGTGCGGAAGGTAAGTAGCTCTTTTTCCTTCCTCTCCTCTTTCCTTGCTCTTTTTTCACTTGTTTTGGTTTAATTTTTAAATGTCTGATAAACTTCATAAAGCAAATTTTAGCTGCAACCATGTCAGGTATTCTAGTAAAAATTTCACAGTAATCTTATTAATTACCTTAGTTTGACTAATTGATGTTTTTTTACGTTCTTATTGAAAAGAACACTTATTCCAGCAGGACAGCAAAGGAATCGCTCATCAGTCTTTATAAAGTTAGCCCTTGATAGATACTTCTAGCAAGCAGCAGTAAACTTAGAAGCCTTGAACTGTGCTAAGTACCAGAATTTTGTATGCAGCACTTCCTACCTTTGGGGCTAGACTTTGCAAGAGCCAAATGCTGGTCGGCATCAGGCACTCACGCTTCCCGCCCTCTGCAAGATGACAGTCTCCTGCTGGCCTGCACCGAGGACAGTATTAATACTAAGTTCTAAATGACACAGTACAGCCTAGCAAATGTGTGTTGAGCTATTTTAAAACGAAGATTAGTATTTGCTTTTCTAAAAAAAACAAACAAAAACCCCTCAGTTGGTATCTTTAATGGCTTAATGGCATGTCTTTTTTTCTTTTTTTCTAGGAGTTAAAAGGAGGAAAGGCATATGCAAAGGTAAATTGAGATGTATCTAATTTTGCCTACGAATTAGCTTTTCTTTCTTGTCATTTTATGCCCTTTTAAAGTAATTCCAGAATAGTACTCTAATACCCATGATTTCATTATGTGCATTAAAGTGACACAGTGGTGTTGGAGCTCTCAGTCAGTGTGATTAATAAATATATAATAATATTATACCACCAGAATGTTTTTTCTTTCAATTTAGTATGTTGAAAGGGTTGATAAAAGTAAATCCTTCTGCATGTGTTTACTTTTAAAAATAAAGCAAGCCCTCCTTGTTCTTTTTCCTCTTGAGAATTTAATTTTTAACTGAAAATAGAGCTATGCAGAATTTGACACTCAAAGTTTGTTTTCTGCTTTTTGCCTTGGGCCACTCCCTTTAATGGGCATCCTCGTATTCATGTTTGAGAGAAACTGCTGTTGAGTGGCACCCAATACTGTGCATGTAGCAACTACCTTCATTTAGTAATATGCTTACTACTAACTTTTTCATTTTCTCTTAACAGCTGGGATTTGCAGATCTAAATCTAGCAGAGTTTGCTGGATCGGGAAATACCACTCGTCGCTGTTTACTGGAAGGTTATGATACCAAAAATACAAGACAGGATAACTCCATTCTCAAAGTAATTTGTTTCCTTTGTCATACTTAAACTCATAAAGCAGAGAACAACTGGTATTATTAAGCACCTAACAAAATTTAAAACATAGTTGCTGAACCTCTTTCTAGAATGAAAACTATTTAAAAGTAAAAACATCAGCGTTGTTTAGAGAGAATCATTAAAATCCATGATTTTAATGCAGTCAAAAATACAATTTGTCCTACTCTTTGAAATGGAGCTGTATAGCTGTAAAAGAAAAGCTTTCAAAAGGTATTTCTATTCTAACAGGAATTGAAAAATGGAATCAATAGTTAATACATTCATATAAATGTAGCAATTATATCTTTAAGACTGGGCAACTTCCTGTGCAGCTTTTCTAAGACTGAGTCTCTTAATTGGCTTATTCATGTATAAGCCAGCTTCAACACCTCCATGACTCCTGGAACTTTCCCTTTTCTATTTGATAGTAATCAATGTAACAATTGGTGAGCATTGTTGGAAGAAACCCACCCTGCTGTTCTCTCCCATTACTCCAGGGAGTTTAAAAAATTGAATAAGCTGCATTAACCTGAAAATAATTACATACAGAATGTTACAAGTAAATTTTTAAAAAATTCCTTTTCCTACAAAGACACTAGGATTAATTTCTCATACTATTAATTATACTGTTTAAGCATGCACTTTCTGATTTCTTTAAGACAGTCATAGACTTTTTCCAAAAAACTTATAATTGATGGCTTTGACCCAGCTAACAAGCCTTCTCAATGCATTGTTGTTCTATGGCATTATTTACCTTTTGTGGTTTTACTTTATCTCAGATGTTAGCACACTCAGTTCTTGTATGCTAGCAGTTTGCTAAACACTTTTAGCAAAGAACATATTTCAGCACCCACTGTTTTAGACAATATTCTGTTTGCTCATTAATCTTTTAGAATTCCTGTCTCTCTATTTTTCCTTTGAAGCATCTTAACTATTAATGATTCTAAGATTCTTCTTGATCTATGTATCTTTGGCAGAATCTTGTACGTGCAACTATGTTACTTTAAATGCTATTTTGTGTTGTTTGCATGTGCACTAAGAAAAAAGATGTAGTTTTTGTGTAAGTGTATTTGCATATGTAATGATGCCATTTTATTTTACTTAAATGTAAGATTTGTGGCAAGTATAACTTAGTGACATGGCCATGTATCACAGACCAATTCCATTTTTTTTCTTACGGTGGGTTTTGTTTTCTTAATCTGTAGGTTTTAATCAACATGCAGCTAATGTCTGGAGACCCATGCTTTAAAATGTAAGTTTATAAAAAAGCTGGGTGGGATAGTGTTTTGGTCGTACATTCTATGTTCAGAATTACACTTCTAATTTGTTTATAAATCTCTCCAATCTGGCAACAATTTAAAAAAAAAAAAGGCACAAAAAAATGGGATGGTAGCTGAATAATGGCTAACATGGTAAAAATACTAGTAGAACTACCATAGTTCTCCTTGCTGTTAAATAGTATATTTTCAAGCAAAGAATACTAGTCTGTACATCTGTAATTAAAAAAAAAAAAAAAGAGAAGAAACACTTAAGGGAAACTGTTCCTGCAGCAAGCTTATATAAATATACTTGGTACAGGGTGATCTGACTAATACTTGTGTTTGGAAAATGTGCTGTTACAACTTTTATTCACAAGTCGCAGATGATTTTGAAAGATTTATTTTAAAAAAAAAAAACAGAAGTGTGATATGACTTAGTACAAGACAAAGCACTTACAGATATTTAGTTGGCAAATACATTATGCAACTTACTAAAAGATGCAAGAGGTAACATCTGAGGGGGGAGGTAGCTAGGAAAATACACTGCTATATATTGAGGATCCTTTGGCCTTAATCTGTAGTTAAGGAAATGTAATAGTTTTGCTAGAGCACGTTAGCTTCCATAGCTAACCACAGGACAGAAAAATCATGCATGCTAGGGAAAAACCTAGTCATGAGTAAGATTAAATTGTTGCCTTCTTTCTAGACTAATAAGCCATTTTGTTACGAGGCACCCTAGCTTCGTGGATAACTAAAATGAAACAGTGTGAGTGGCAAGCTTCCTATTTCCAGACAACACCGCTATCTTACTAACCATGACTTAATTATCCTGATCAGTAGGAAGTGAAGAACTCTCACATGTAATTAGTATTATAAGAGATATTTTATAATAACCTGAATGCCGTTCATTTTAAGGATAGGCTTAGAGATATGTATAGAATCTGCTTCTATGAATGCAGTGTGGAAAACTCCTCAGTATTTGCCAAGATTCTTAATGCCACTGCTTTTCTATAATTTAGAATGTTGGTAGACTGGGTTGTTCAAAGTGTACATCCTTTTCAGTGTAATGTCAATCTTTTCCATTTCTACATGACAGTAGATGGCAATTTTGTCTAGATCAGGTTTAAACCAACTTAGTTGTATTTTACTTGTCACAAGATGTTTGGGGGAGGGGTTGAAAAAATTCCCTTAAAATAAATTTGATCCCTTAAGTTTCTACTTCAGAAACTTAAGTTTCTAAAAAGTTAATTTTTCTTCAGTTCATTGACCACGTTGTTATAGTGCAACTAGAAGGAGATGGAATCAAAATGAGAGGACATATTTTCTTCCCACAACTTGCAATTAAGTTGTGGAACTCCTTGCTACTACATGCTGTGAATGGTAACAGCTCGAGAAAGAATTAAGACAAATTCCTGAATAAAAAAATTGTTGAGGGCTATTAAGTATAAAACATCTTGTGAGGCTCAAGAAATATCTAAGCTACAGATGAGGAGATGCTGGAAGAATATTCAGGAGATAAATTACTATGTGTGCCATATTCTCTTTGCATCTGTTGTTTGCTGCTGACAGAAACAGGATGCAAGGCTAGACAGACCTTTGGTCTGAGACAACATGCTTGTTCTCATGTTAGCCTTTTCAAAAACAATCTAGGGCAGAGTACCAAGTATTACATATAACCCAAAAAGAAAAAATGAGCTTAAGGAAAACAATCTGGAAAAAATTGCTAGCTTCACCCTTGTTATGTCAATCTCAACTTTTTGTGTAGATTCTCAACTTTCATTTATACTTGCAGACCTTATGTTGGATCAAAGATATCTTCCATTGTAACGATATAGTGCTTTCTTACAAACTGCTACACTAAAACACTTTTACTTCAGCATGGATTAGTTTTTTTATTCAAAATACTCTCATAAACTGAATTTAAACTCATCTTTTATCAGATTAATGTAGGTAATCAATGTCCCTCTGAATAATCCAATGAAGAGGGGTAATAATCTCATACAGGCTTAACCTGTAGCAGCAAACATATACTTCAGTCTTCCTTAAGTAAAAAAAGATTGTGTTTGAAATGAAATGAGGCTGCAGCTCCAAGAAAAGCAGCATGCTCTCCTAACTCAGTTTGAGGTGCAAGTATGAAGTAACTCATGATTTGCAGGTTTTATTAGGACAATCGAGAACTGTTTTCTGTAGCAACTAGAGAATGCTGTGGCTGTATCCTTACCATTGTTTCTGAGAACATTTGAGAATGTTGCCTGCACCGGTCTAGCTCAGATGATTGTCCGCAGGAACTCTTCAGTGTCCCCTTGCACCACTAAAGGCCCTTTCTCGTCTCTTCTTCTAACCTTCGATAAGAAGAATAGAATACTGTGAAATCTCATCTTGTGCTTACTGAATAAATAGTAAGGGGGTATTATCTGAATTTGTCTGATTGGGCAAGGCTTTTCTGTATCCCTAGTTATTTAGCACTGCTTCATTTACTTTGAGTCAGACCTATTAACAAATACATCACTGATACTGATAACCAATTTCTTAAAAGCAACTAACCAACCATTAGTCTTGTATGCTAATAAAACAATGTATTTCTGTTCTTTACTGGCTGGTACCGAAATATTTGAAATTAGTACCTAAATAGTTTTCTGGCTCCCTAAGAAAAATATCTCTAACTGAAATTATTCAGACTTGGCATTTTCTTCCAAACTGATGATATAACCATTTCCTGGAACATAAATTTTCAACACAAACAGAACAAAAAATTTATCTAATCCAGATGTTCTTCGTAGAAGGAAAAATAAACCTTAAAACAATTTCACAATCTGGAATCAGCTATATATTTTATGAAGAAGCCTAGAAATCTTGATGTTTGGTCTGGGGTGACATCCCTGAAAGCATTCGGTTCTTGCTTTCAAAAGTATGTTAGGCAATTAAGTTACACAAGCATTATATTTCCAGAAGTGCTTTTTCTCTTTCTCTCTTTACTTTCAAACGTAACATAAGAGGGAATATGTTACTGTACATAAAGACAGTGACTAATTTATTGAATACATCAAATCTAAAGATGTCAACAAATATCCATTTGTATGCAGACCAACAGTCTGTTCCCAAAGTAAAAAATAACAAAGCATTAAAAAAACTTTAGGTAACATCTTGAAATGTATTTTAGTTGTATTTGCTTGCAAGAGAAGATTACTTTCACTTTGTCATTTTCTAATTAGTTTCTTTTGCACTAGCAAAACACAAACTTAGAGGTTTATTCATTTTAATAAAATATCCCTTTGGGTCTTGGTATAAACTGAAACAAGGATTTAAGCTTTATTAAAAGCTTTTTTAATATTGAACCAAATATAAATTATATTGTACATGATGCTTTTTTTAATTTGCAGAAGGTAGAATTTAGAGGGGGATACATGGAGATGGTGACATAGGCTCCTTTGTTAGGAGTGGGAGGGTTATCAGCCCAGAATCTCCTCGTGTACTGTAACAGAGGTGAAACAAAGCCAGGAGTACATCACAGTGCACAAGCCAAGTAGGCCAACTGTCGTCGTGCGGGTTTTGGTTTTTTTTTCTAACTTACCATCTTGTCATCTATTCCATGAAGTACTGAATTATATATATTCTTAGTACATAAATTATCCTGTGATTCACACACTTAAAAAAATAATTAAGAACTTCAAAATAAACACATATCGCTCCACCAATCATCAAAAAAGGAAAAGCCTTTCCAAGGATCCCCAGAAGCCTGAAGGACTGAGGGCTGAGCAGATGGATTCTGTAAAATGTCCTGAAGCTCAACAGCAAAAGCTTTTTTTTTTTTCTTTTTTTCTGTTTCACAGGGGGCTAGGCAGAAAAAAGTTACAAGCCTACAAGCTACAACTTTTCAGAAAAAAGTTATAAGCCTATTAACTTGAAGCACAGTATGAATTATGCCAACTTACTTGAAAAGAAAAATCTGCGCTGATCAACTTGGAGGGATTACAGCAAAAGTACAGCAAATCTTAACCACCTTTTTCTTACAGGCCTCCTTCCACAGCAATGTCTATAGCAATTGCTGGAGAATCAGAATCTTTGCATGAAGACAGAAGAGGCGGAGAAAACTTAAAAGTACTACATCTGGGCATAGCAGGTATAAAATAATGCTCTTAATATCTCAATTCTTTTATAACTGGCTTCATAGCTTCAAGGAGATGTACGAAATACTTCAATTCTTAAAGGGACGCTGACAGTTGGCCCACAAAAGGACCTTCTTTGGTTATTTGTCAAGACACACTCTCCTAGATAACATCAGTGGAATCTCTCTTTTTTACTTTTGTAACAGTTTATTTAATGGAAAGAAAGAACAGCAACTAGATTGATAGCCTGCCTTCTTTTTAATATTTAAAATCTTTCATTTTCTGTGTGACACATTTCTTGATTTGCTTTGGATTTGTATTTTGACTGAGCATTTAATTTGGCCCTTGATTTTCAACTTACGAATCATAGGGATATGCATAACTGAGTAAATTTTGAGTGGTAAAAGGTGTAAGTATTGTTGGAAATTGAAGTAGTTATACCGAAATTTAGACTATTAGGAAAAAAAAAAAACTATTAAAACGCTTTATTACAGGTTGAATTTTTGGGGGGTTTTGGTGTTTTGGGGGGGATTTTTGGGGGGGGTTGGGGTTTTTTTACAAGCTCCAGGCTCCTACACAGCTTGTTAATTTCCACCCTAAACACATCTTAAGTTGTCTTAACTACAGTCACTTTTTTAGCCAGAAAACATCTAGCATACCATTCTACTATGGTACTATGGAAAGCATGGTGATATCTTTAATGTCTACAGAGTAGACAAATCTAAAACTACATTTCATGCAAATCTTTCTAACCCAATGGTACTCTCTATTTTACTCAGACAGAAACGTATTGTGATTTTTTTTTTTTTTTTTTTTTTCATTAACATACATGGTATTTTTGCAGCACTTGAATCTTCAAAGGGTTTGTAGAAAACCAGTGTCAAGTCCCTAATCCCTCTGGGAAATCTGACATTTGAATCTAATCAAGATTACAGGCAAAGTAATAACAAGGCTGGCTTTAGCAACAGTATCTGATTTGCACATGTTGCAGATGTCTCAAAGAGTGCCTCAGTCCCAGATGAACTTGGTGCATGTGGACATTCCAGAACATCGAGCTATGCAAGTCAGCAGTCAAAACTGTCAGGTAGCTGTTAACAATTTTGTTATGAATTGTTGGGGTTTATTTACTTTCACAGTTTTAGATTGTAGAAAATAAGTATACTTTGTATGTTTAAAAAAAATGGTTTGAAGTTGGAAGCTTTTTCCTAGGAGTTTCAGGTGTGGGGAGGGTAACATTTTTTTCCTTGTAAAAGCACAATGAATTATCTGTTCAGATGTGAGACAGCTTTTTCCCTTAGCTCCCTCCAATTAACATATCTGAATGAGATTTTTACCTCTTCCATGTGTAAAAACAAATAACTTAAAAATGGAGACTTAGTTCTAAAAGCTGAAGGGCAAGTAATGACACCAAGTCATTATATTTGTTAGAAGCAAGAGTTATTTAGAACAAAAAGAAAACAGCATGTGCTAGAATACAAAATCAAAAGTAAATGGCCTAGTTGGCGTATGCACATACATTCATAAGGCTTTTGAAGTCTCTTTATAAGAAGACAAAACACAAATTCTGCTTTCAGGATGGTAAAATACAAGTAATGACCTTCGCTGTCAACAACACCTGTCCTAGCTCTCCTGCACTTTCCCAACAGGATATAGCACATGTCACTCTAGATCATCCAGTCTGTCTGAACTCTGCCACAGGAGAAACACCTCAGTGGGTAGTACCTCAACAGGAATTGGAAGTATTCTAGAGCCATGTGAAGAGACTGAGCCAAAAGTAACTGAAGCTAATATTGATACATCTGTTAAAGATGCACCATCAGAAGAACTCTGCAGGTACGCTTAACTTCGAAAGCCTTATCTAGCAGAAGTAAAACCTAATTTACTATATCACTTCTAAGAGCTCTAAATATATTTATTTTTGCAGACATCCTGTAAAGCAAGACTCTGTGGAGTCACAGCTGAAGAGGGTCGATGCTACCAGAGTTGATGCTGATGATATAGTTGAAAAAATACTCCAGAGTCAAGACTTCAGTTTAGACTCAAGCGCAGAAGGTATGGAGATAAATAAGGAAGCTTAAGGAAAACTGATGCACATTACAGGCCTTAGCAAAATCCACTCTCTTCATAGTCCCTGTTGCTTGTAATCATAAGGACTATACATATGGATCGCTACACTTTCTGCTTCTTCCTGTCTCCCAGAACTTGAAAAGACCCTTGCATGACTCGGGTAGCTTTACCAGAGAATTACTTTAAGTCTGAAAAGAAGAGAGCAGGGGCAAAACTACAAGGAAGGTAGTTCCTCCAACTTATACCATGTGAAGTTTGGTTCCTCATTACTTAAAACATTTGCATCTGAAAGTATCAGTTAGAAAACCAGTGAATTTAAAATTACTTAGCTTTAGCTAGGGCAACATTAAAGGAAGCTAACATATGTTAATTCCCTTGCTTTTTAGAAGAAGGTTTAAGATTATTTGTGGGCCCTGGTGGAAGCACTTCTTTTGGAAGCCATCATCTCCCTAACAGGTATGTAGCCTGAACAACTAATCCATAGGTAATACTAACCAAAAATGCATCTTTTACACAGCAGTTATTCTGTATATACATTCTTGATCTTTGTGTCTATCTATTCTGTATCATTTAAAGGCACCAAAAGAACTAGATCATGAGGTTTTATAACAAAACACATAGGTTAGTTCAAACTAAAACTGATGTGTCAGCCATAAGAATTATAACTTTCGGAGGTTCTGAAGAGTCTCAGTTCCAAAGTTTTCAGATATAAGCAATGTTTCAGTATGGACGCAGGAAACAGGCACCAGTTTGAAATCTTAGCTCTACAGACTTACCACGTTACTCTCTGGAGCTGGAAGAAAGTCTTAAGTGTTTTACACATCCATCTTTACAGTGTCAAGCTTTTATGTCTTCCTGATAACAAGCATAATTTTCTTCACTTCAGTTTTGCTCACAACTCCTTCTGATTCCATACACTACACTATTCCTGTTTCAATGGCTTATTCATCTTTCAACTATTTGTAGCCCTAAACTCTCTCCTTTGATAATCTGCTTCAGATCATCTTCTTGTAGTTGTTTTAGAACCAGGGAGATTTTTTTCTTCTCTAAACCCTCTTCAAATACTCTGATATATGACCTGAATGTATTAGAGTCTTCTCAGATGAGAAAACATTAAAACCAGGTAAGAATATGATCTAATACCATGATTCTGCAGTCCAGGATAACTCTCTAAGATTTTTCTTTATCTCATGAAATTAGCAGAGCATCAGTTATGTCAGCAAATTCAGCAAGTACTTCTGGAATTAGGTATAAAGGCAGCTGCTAAGGTGCTGAAAGTTATAAAACAAATACATTTTACAAAAGCAAGCGATACTGATGGTTAAAAGATAATTCATTGGCTTATTTGCAAACTGGGCACACTAATTTCTATCTAGGATAACATGTACGTTACAGAGCACACTACAGTAGTATATAGAGATCTGTCCTAATTCAGTTGCCAGGACAGTCCAGGCAGAGTATTAAACTAAGGCAAAGTTTTGTCCTATTAGTTTTTGACATAGTACTGCAATTTGCCATGTAAAACAACCCACTATGCTCTGTCATGTAGGGGGTGAGACAGTTTCGTAACCGTGCATTTACAATTCAGCATGAACAAAAGACTGGAAGATGTTTTTTTTGTATCTTAATGTAAGATGACTATCACTCACTGTTTTTTTTAGAGACATTTATCTATTTATGTATATAAAAAGTATTAGCTGCATATGATATAGCTGGGGCAGGAGGGGTACCCCAAAGATAATGTTTAAGGAACTATAGAAGTCCAACAGTAACTTCTTTTTCAGTAACATTATTTATCATTCTTCATTTTGACTGTAGTATAACACAAAATGCTTTAATGCATTAAACTGTAGGTTATTCAGGGGCATGGTAAATACTCGTTTTCTACCCTTCACATTTAGCTGTTCTGGTACTAGCTGTTCAGTTGGGGTTTTCTTGTGGGTTTTGGGGTGGGGGGGGCGTTGGTTGTTTCGGTTTTTTATAAAAACAGCAAAATTGCTGATCTGTGATACTTGCTGTTTAGATTCCATTTAATTGAACTAAATTCCACTGGAATTGAACTAATTTCTTTCAAACATTCTTTCAGAGTAGGATCTGGAGCATATGAGCAGGTGGTGATAAAACGCTAGACTAGAATGACAAGAGGAAAACTGGGAGCTCTGGCGTTGATACTTCTGTTTTTGTTTGCTCTGTTGCAAGAGTTGTGAAAGCCAAAAAGAACTCAATGTAATCTTTTTTTGAAAAGTAATGGAATGCCTCTTGCCCATAGAGCTTCCTCTTCTGTGGTATGAATGCAATGTTTAGCTATGTATACCTTGTGCAAGCACTTGGACTATTTTTGTAAGCTCTACCTGATGTTATTTCATTTTTAAGTTGTGTGAAACATTTTTGGAAGCATAATTAAGCAAGTCCCATTTCAGTATTTTATGCAGGAGATCATTTGTGGTGATGTACTTTGTTGTAACTTGTTTTCTAAAGAAGCTTCTAAAAGTTGGTCTTAAATGAACCCGAAGAAATTAATTACTCAATTTGATCCTACCTGCCATTTTAGTCTTACATAAGCTAATTACTTCTATCAAGTCAAAATTAAGGCCTCCACAAAACAGCCCAGCTATGTTTTAACATAACCAAAACCTTCTCTTAAGAGTACTGAGCATAACTTCACTGTAAGCTTGAACAGTAGAGGTGAACTTCACATGCATTTTAAAAAAAAACAACAAACCTAAATAGATCTAAACCAGCCAGTTATCAGTTGTGTTAACTGTAAATGAAGTCTAGAGGCTTAAATGCATCAAGTGTGATATCTGTTTTTGTGCAAGTGACAAAAGAAGTGGGATTCCACATCAAGATACTAAGGCACAGTAGTGCAGTATCAAGAAAGCTGGCTTGATCTGGAGTTCAAAAGCTACTTCCACAGAAACTCACCTCAATAATGCATGAACCCTGAGATTCAATGGGATGGTACTGTTTACAAACCTAGTCAGTAGTTTACTACCACTTAGAACATTTTCTTGTAGCTTAATCCTTCACAGTTAGTGCTTTGCTTGTGTTTTGAATGTGCCTTGCGGGATTGGGGAGATACAGGAAGATTAAAATATTTACTAAGCAACTTAAGCTTTAAAACTAGGTAAATATCTATACTATTATCAATATAACTTATTAAGAGAAGCACTTTATTGTAGACGTATTCTGCACTCTGAAAAAGTCTTAACCGTGCAGCAGATTTGTTGAACACTTCTTTCACTATCTGTCCACTGTTACATTAAGGTCAATGTACTGTATTTAAATTTGCACAAATAGTGATTTGCCTGACAGGCAAGAAAGATGAAAGATCTCTTAAAATTTTCATTGAGAATTATGAAAGAATTGATTTTTAAAGGGATGTGTTAGGTGACACAGTTCTAATTCAGGCTTAGTTCTGCGGTATTTAATTGTAAACTGCAAATGACCTTAATTTTGTTATGATTAGTTGTATTGTTTATCAGTAAGGCTTGGATTAAATAAAAATACAAATAGTGTGGCCATTTTTGAAAGCTCTGAATGTTTCAAATTCTGATCAGAGTGATGTTTGACATCCTTTTATTGAAGTACAAGTAGGCCATATTTAATAGGTTAAATTAGGAAAAGCAGGCTTTGTTTTCCATAAATCCATAGTAGAGTTATTAAACTAATTTTTATTTGTGTTTTTTTAAGGAAATTTCAGATTTTAAAGCTTAAGTACTGTTATTGAATATGATTAACATGAGCTATTTCTCAGTTATGGTAGTTAAATACTTTTATTTCCTGCTGTTAATTATAATCTCTTTGAAGTGTTTTAATGGATAAAGGAATTAATACAAAGATTGTATTTTAGCTGCTGTTAATAGAAGTGTGGTATTATCCATTTCTGTCCTCCACAGGAATTTTAAACAGAAACTACATAACTGCTAGTATACAACTCTCTCTCAGAGCGTGATAGTCTCCTTTCCTGTTATATAACTAATTCATACCAAAAAAATCCTACTGCAAGCCAGAAGATGCATGAAATTTGAATAAATTAAGTTGCTTTCAGTACTCTCTAACACTGCTACACTTGTCGACCAATCTATTAAAACCAGTAGTACTTAGATGGTAGTTTACTTAAGTTTCCTAGGAAAAACAGGCATAGCTTGAGGAAAACAGACTCTTAAAAAACATTGTACAGCTAGTTATGTAATTCTTAAGGGAATTTCCATAGCCCAGATATGTATTCTATGTTAAAAGACACAGCTAATTGCCATAGATTAAATATTTTGTTTACTAGAAACCAATGATTTCCTTGCCTGAGCAGATCTTTTAAATAGGAAGGAAGTTTACATAGAAACCAAGCTTTTAATAGAACTGTATACTAGTAATTTATTGCTCTCACTTTGAGTTACAACTCTTTATGAAGTGATTCTCTAATTGTGCATATTTTAAGGGGAACATAACCTTCATATTTAGATGTAGTATTTTATTTTTTGTAACCTGTGTTATAAAAATACTGAAGACTCATATAATAAACTGTTTGGGGTGTGTTGGTGTTTGGTTTTTTTTTTTAATGTATTTAAACACAAATATCTCAGACATTCAATAAACTCATGCCTTCAGCTTGGAATATGTTTCTGAACAACTATGTCTCTTTTTAATGCAAACTTAACTGAAAGTTTGTATCCATTTCAGTTTCTCTACTACTTTTCAAACTTTACCTCTGCAGTTTATTAAACTTAATCTCCAGTCCACAAAGTATTTAATGGCACTTTACTAGTACATAGTTACTTATCTGTCTCCTGGAGAGGAAAAGTAATATGTCAGTCTTACGCAAATGAAAATCAATTTTAAAGTGTGAAGCATAGTGGTAGGTTAATTATTAAGAGACTCCACAACTAGCATTATTTGGGGAAAGTGAGGGCACTGTCTATAGTCCCTCTTCACCTTGCAAGTGACAAAATTAATCCTCCTCGGTTAGAGTGTAAAGACTTGCTACTACTTAAACTTTTCATACAGTTTGCGTAACTTTGTAAATTACCTTCTTATTTTTCTAACAAAACTATTTGTGGTATGTATTTCTTTTCTCATCAATGCATTCAAAATAAAGAAGCTTTTTGGTACTGCAGTAAGCATCTGTTCTTACATAAAAACAACTAGATTGGTGAAAATTGCAGCTAATTACAGTACAAACTATTTGGCACTCAGATCAGTTCAGTAATCAATTAATTGTATAGTAAGGATTAAGAGAAGTAACTGTACCATGTATAACCAACTCCAGTCTCAGCTGTATTTCAATTCAAAAAGGAAGAAAATTTTTCAAAAATTTCAGCACAATATCCTCAAATTTCTTTTGTGGGTTGTTGTCTCTCTTCTGGAATCAACAGTTTCCACATAGAATAAAAGGCAAATCTCAACTGGAGGATTTGCTTGCTGCTAAGAACCTCACGGTGAAGAATTTAAGAATTTCAGAAATATGAAGTATACATGTATATACATAAAACATTCATAGATGCTAGTCACCTTACTGAATACCACAGCTGCAAATATAATCACTAGGGGATTTTTTTTTTTAATGCTTAGGTTTTTTCTATTTCTGTGTTTTCACACTGTTTTAGTGACATGTACGTTGTAAGGAAAACATGTCATTTAGGCATGTTTTTTTTTTTAATCTGGAAGGAAAACATCTTGTGAATGAAAATAAGGCTATGCACCACTGTTGCATACACATATGTAATATACCAAAGCAAAACCATTGTTGTGGTATAGGAAAAGGTTTTCCTTTACTACTACAGAAAAAAAAAAGTAGAGATATGAAGTACCAGAACTTAAAATGCTGTCATTGAACACTTAGGTGCGTTTTGTGCACCTTCTGACATGGGAAAACAACAACATAGAGACAAAGATTAGCATGGGAAAAAATTACTTTCTGTAACTCTTGAGGCAAAATAAGTAGTTCTGCTTATTCTTGCCTGCTCTCCTCTTCCCACCTGTTGCACCACTACAAGTTTCTGTGACAGATTAGTTGATTCAATTTCCTGTATGGCATCACAGCAGGATCTGCCAACAAGGGGAAAGGCAAACACGTCTTAATACGTTTGTTAACGTTTTTGTAGGACAGATTATTTTCATTTTGTTGCTTCCTTGTTAAAAACTAGAAATTGTTAACTAACTTTTTTTTTTATTTATTTATATGAGGGGAAATCTCCAAGCACAAGCTAGCAAAGCTTTGCTTAAGTTCAGAGTTGTATGCACTGGCCTTCTAATCGCAACTAAAATTGTTCATATATTTGTAAAGAAGGCACTAGTTTTTTGGGTTTTTTTAAAAATTGCCTTCTCTTATGATCTACTAATGCTTCCCCAGTGTCCTCATTTGAGTATATGCTAGTGTTAGTGCATTTTATTTTGGGGATGTTCCCAGTGAACTGCTTGCATACGGGACTTCATTAAAATGTATTTTGTGAATGAGGAAGAAAGTCCAAATGATTTTTGTATAAGAATTTTTCTGTCATTTCTGAAGCCCCTTCCTATGTTTCTTCCACTCAGTTTAAGTAGAAAAACGAAAAAGGCCCAACAACTAAGCATTATGAGTTACACATAACTCAGCTGTAACTGAATGATCCAAACCTCATTTATCAACATAATGATAACAAGTATGGAATAGAGCTTAATACCATGGAAACCCATGGGAGACAGGACTGAAACACATCAGAAGTTTATTAGCTGCGAGATCTATTTGTCTGAGAAATCTCTGGGGAGACAGACAATTTAACTCCTCCAGCTCTAACAATTAGGCAGTTGGTTTTTATTTATTAAAACAAGTGAGAGGATATTTTTAGAATTTATTTATACCACTTCCTCACTTTGTTATTATTATTTTAAAACACTGATCAGAAACATTCTGTTCAGCTATTCTGACCATAATTAATCCCTACTAACTTGCTCAATAGCTATCAAGTTTTTTCCCTTATATTCAGGATACTGCACTGTTTTTTTTGTTTTGTGGTGGGTTTTCTTCTGTTGTTGTTGTTTGGGATTTTTTTTTGGTTTTTTAATCTACTTTATTTGGATTTTACAGTTTTGAACAACATAAGGTGGGTCTGTTTTGAGATATGTGTGCTATCTCCTGGTCAGTGATAAAGTC